CATCCGGTGGAAGCAGCATAAATTCCATGCCTTTTCAAGTTATGCTTTTTGGGAAAGTAGTCAGGGCGGTTAGCTTTCAGTGTCATCACCCATCCTTTGCACGGTCATCCAAATGAAACACGGCAAATGCCGCCTGACTACGGACATCATTAATTCGAGCATTCGTGATAGCGATGTCCAATTCTCGCTGCCAGAACGCAAGATTTTTCATCTTTGTTCCCGTAAAATCTTGATTTCTACGGGGCGCTTCGTGTGTACAGACAATGTCACCACCACTTGTGGAGGAGAAGACGGAGCTGGCATCGGTATATTCTGCAAAAAACTATAATCCTTGCTGATACGCAGTGAATTTTTGCCAAGCGTGGAGTTATCTCTTCTTGATCCAATTCAAGCACATCGTAGACCGCGTGATCTCCAATTAAAATTATATAGCTCGCAGCTTCACAGCACACTCCTATTGTGAGTAAGTCAGGAAGGAATTTCCCATGCTGTTGATCCGAGGGCGACCACCGCCTGTGGTGTCCACATTATCCATCGATTAATCAAAAAAAAAAGTTGGTGTTGAATGACTACCAGTGCCACCAAGTGCAACAAAAATTGCTGAACGGTGTACACACACTTTCTTAAGAAGGCTTATGTAAGCCGACACGCCTCACCGCGTATTGCTCGCTTCCAGCAGGCCATTGATTAACGAAGAGGGAGGTAAGGTGAAGAGACATTTATCGTTTTCGCCAATAGGCTTTTAGCTTTCCTAATCTTGAAGTGCCTCCAGCTCTGATACAACAGAATTGAAAGGGAATACAATTAATGATGGATACACAAAATATATGGTCCACACAACACGCGTAATGGGACCTGGCCCATTACAGCCTACGCCGCGCCAGCTGAAAAGCTGCCAGAAGAATTATCTCATTCATGACAAAGAGCTATTTAGAATTAAGTACGCCCCCATCAAGGTTAAGGTACGCCTGCTTAGCTGGAAGACATCAGTGATGTATACATATCATGCGTTGTTGCGCATAGCAAAGGTGTCACTACAACACGCAGAAAATGGCAAATGGTTTTTTCTATGCCGAGAAATATATTTGACATAAGATTCAAAGCGATTAGAGCAATGCGGTGGTAGACGCACTCTTGTGTCGCCCCGGTCAATGAATTGTCATATGGCACAATACAGATGCTAATTTATAGTTCGGTACCTACAGCGTACGCTGTACGTCAATGGATTTATAAAGTGGGCAGTGTAATATCTTTAAAGCTTTCGTTTGTGCGATGTACGCAGCGGGTCTCGTGAACGACAGCAAATCTCCACACTCGGTGCGGACGTTCTCTGCCAGAAAGTCATTTGGCAAGTGGCGAATAGTGCATGCTAACATGATTGCTTTGCGAGCGGTGCTTAGGTGTATGTGCGCTTAAATAAGTTATCATCAATATAGGCAAGTGTGCCTTTTGTGCCGACGAATTCCGCTTTCGGATTGCTTTATTAAAAGCAAGGCCTTTCCGACGATCCCGCAAGAATATGGTCATTGTCAAATGTACACAGTATGGTGTGCTTGATTCGGTCGATCGATATTCCTGAATCTTGATAGGGGAGAAGGACGTCCCCTGACGGCTGTTGGAACCCGTCTGGTACGTATATCACACTAAGGTTCAACGCTAGCCAACGTTCTTCGTTGTCAAAGTTTTTCAATTTCAGTTGAAGGTCCGGCACAACCTTCGACACTTCTATCAGTGCCCCCGCGGCAAAACTCTCGAATAGCGAATCATGGTTTGGCATCATCAATGCCTCCGCGTACTGTTGATAGCTTTGAGAGTCGTGCATCGCATGTACGAGCACGAATCTCCTAGGTTTACTAAATATATCCTGGCTTCACAAAGCCCAAGGCATTGCTGTCAACGCTCACAGCCCTTCGCTGTAAGCCTAACCTTTCTTAGCAAGAATCGCTTCTCCGGCTGGGTCCCAATAATAATTTTGCCGCCCTGAAGGTACGAAAGAATCGAGGTCTGTAACAGTAGACTACTCGGACTTGATTCCTCTCGTGAGATTCGTCGTCCGACTTTACGTAGGAGCCCGACCCTTCTTACATACCAGAGGACCACGCAAGTCGCAGGTATATCATACTACCACTGATGAAACATCTGATTGTACCGTCGAGCTGCTCAATAACTATAAAATCTCTTACTGACCCACTGGCACGTGTTGAACTTTTGATTCCAGCAGCTCATTCTGTCCTTGTGGTCCGCAGTTGTTTTCCGCAATTAATAGGACGACTATCGTTTTCTAGAAAGTGTCAGCGTCGGCGCAGAAGGTCTCGATGTGTCCAGCATGCTTTTTAAGACTCTCCACGCTGGAGGAAATCGTTACTATCAATAAAGGCGATTTGATCTCAAAATTTCTGAGCCTAGTCCGCCATTCTGCCCCTTAAACCGTAGACAAGACTTTGGATTGCACCGATACACTTGACGAGGCGGTGCAAGGCATCCGTCTCAAATCATCCGACATCGGGGTGTATCGTCGTTGATGTATTGCACTACGAAGCCATTTTGCGCTCAACTTCCTGCCTGAATCGCAACGCACTGTGAATCCTTTTCGAGCCAGCTCGAATCTGTTGGATAGTAGATTTGATTTGTTTGGGTCCACAAAGATTAGGACGCTCAATTTCCCTTCTCATTTTAGAAGTCATGTGTTTTCCCATCAGTGTCCACTCGGGGCGCTCCCGGGTGAGTCTGCAGCGGGGCTGCTGTAGCTCTTTCGCTTAGAGGAAGCTTAGTAGGGGTCGGTAACCTTCGTTCTATACTTAGAACCAAAACGAGTGTAGCGGATCGCACTCCGCCTACTCCAAAAGTAAGTACAACCTCGAACCAAGGATCATTAATCCTTTCGCTTAAGATGTAAAGTGTACTTCTCGGTTTTATCTGCGGCAAAGCCGCCTATATCTAAATCTATACAATTTTTTATCTATATAGTATGACCTAATTAAAGCATAATAAGTACTGGCTGTCGTAGCCACGTATTGACTTGTTGTTTGAGTGTTGCCATACCATTGTGTGGTTACACCGTCTTTTGTTGCCCACACCATTGTGCGGTCAAACCATCTTTCTTAATTCTCACCTATGTGTGATCACTTCATCCATATGTGACTCTGTTACAGAGCCCCACCAGCGCTTTTTAATATTTGAGAGCTCGTCCAAGCGGTCGATGACGGCTTCCAACCATTCAGCTGCTTATCCCTGATCCTATCGAATTTACAAAGGTAAATATGCAACTTTAACTGGGCTTTTCAATGAGCGCTATGTACTGATGATTTAAGATGTGCCAATGGTAAACCACTCATGTCACGCGTACAAAGAGTGTAATAAATTTGTAAGCGTTGGTACTATGCAACCTGAGGCAGATGTTTGTTGTTCATGCGTTTGGAAACTATTTTGATTTATCGAAAGAGCGAGGCTGTCGGAGCTCTTTGCATAGAGGTAGCTCAGCTAAAGGCACCGACCTTACATTTTTTACAAATCAGTGCAAGGGCGGCAGATCGCGATTCGCTGCCTCCAAGAGTATCTTAAACCTTAAAAAAGGTAATCACGCTCTTCCGTTCAAAATTGGAACTGTATTTGATTGTTTTATTTGCGGCAGAACCGCCTATATCTAACATCTTAGGTAGTTCTTATTAATATAGTAAACCCTAATTAATATGCATGAGTACTGGCAGTCCTGCCATGTTGTGGCTTCTTGTAACGGTGTGGCCACAGCATTGTGTGATTACTCCAACTTGTGAAATCCACACCTTTGTACAGTCTCACCATCTTGTGTGAGCCGCCCTTCTATACAGGGGCGGGTGTAACCCCCGTTTCACTCTCCCATCAAAACTGTGGATACCCACGGTTCACATTTAATGTTCGCCTCATATGAGGCTCGCGTGTCTGAGATAATGTAACGTCCTTAAACACATATTTGAACATGATCCGCACATCGAGCCCTGTCTCTATGACACGAAAGATACCCAGCGTAGCTGTTTCCGAGGGCGCCCGCAGACAAAGCCTTTCTTCTTCTTCTGCACGTGGTGCAGCACATCTCCGGACAGTACGTCCGCGGCTTCATGGGAAGCACATCCCAACCCCTCGGCGACTGAGCGCCACACGCCACACCCGCGCCGGGCGACGGATTTCCTCGACAAGGATTTAGAGGAAGTCGACTACGAATCGGATACACCTTTCTTAGCATGGGAAGACGAGGAGGAGGTGTGCCACCCGCACGAAGTGATCCCAGCTCGAACCTTGCGAACACCGCATCCGTTCCCCGACCTTTCGACTTCCGGAAGAATACGGCTTCCGCTCGGCGGATCCCGCTACTGAAGCGCAAAACGCGATCACTCGATCGCTGTGAGTCAACGTAGTGGGGCAGACTGGACGATAACCGCTTTTGGTCCCTGAGTATCCCATCGCTTTATTTCCTCGAGAACAACACAACACATTTTTTAACATGTCGATACCCCTCCACAGATATTTAAACATATTATTTTCATCCTCACAGTGAATACAGTCTCATTGAACCCCAATCGTTAGATTGATGACAAGTGCCAACAGACGCAACGTGAATTCCGCGTGTCCGGCACACAGAGAGCATTGACTCCGTGTGTTTGTGCTTTTTAACGCACAGAGGATGAATTTGTACGCCCCATTCGGATGCGGGACGTAGTGCCTCATACGTATAAAACTTTCGGCTTTTTTTACTTCAAGAGTGGCAATTTAATCTGGCTTATATAAAGTGACCGAAAGAATATCTGTGTCATTTTATTACATAATACAGCTTGATGTAATATCGAGTGCAGACCAGATATTTGTACCGAAACGTAATACTCTATACTGACTTTAGACTGTTCGACACTCAGTGCGTAATCGTTTGCCAACTTAGCCTTAAATATTCAGTTTTGACGCTGATTGATCTTGATTCTGATTGCGCTTGATTGACCCCGCGCTTGGCGACACATTCTTGTGTCATAGCGATGAGTCTCACCGCAGCTCCACTAGAGGAAGGTCTGGCTTTTGATACTGGGCCAGAAAGTGCGCACGCTGTGCAGGATTACGCGCTTGCACACCACAAGTCTGTTTGTGTCGAGCGCGCTAGCGGATCGGATCGGCGGATGGCGTGTTCATCCGAGGCGCCATGTGGCTTTTTCGTCCAAATCTATCGGCAGCGCATGGCAGACAGAAGAACGTATGGAAAATGGTATATTGCATCGCTGAATCTGACGCACTCGGAGGGCTGCACTTCGGTGCGTCGTCTCTCTACACGGCAAATTGCGGGACTACCAGCCTTCGTGCAGGCTGTGCAGACAAACCCTAAAGCCTCAATTGAGTCTCTGATGGCGTTGGTGCTGCAGCGCCACGGCGTATCGTTAGAGAAACATCTTCGCCTGGTTTACAGAGCCAGAGATTTGGTACGAAGTGGGAAAGTTGTTAAAAGTCATTTATTGTCCAGTCAAGACGAACCATTGCCGGAAAGACAATTTGTACGTTGTCGCGCGATGAGCAAAAAGGGATTGCCTGATCCGAATATGCTTAAAAGTGCAGGTAGAATGATGTGGACAAACATTCTTATTGAGTCGCTTTTGATTCAACGACTTGTAAAGTATCGGCGACAATTTGATGAGACTGTAGAGCAGTCGCGGCATCGCGAGCTTTGGAAAAATATCGAAAATGAGTTCAATGCAATGCATGACGAGACAGTCACGGTGTTGCAATTGCGTTCCAAATTCAAATATTTACAGGATCAATATCTGAAAATTCGTGCAGAAGAAGAGGCTACACATGACAGCAATAAACTGGTGATATATCCGCACTATTGGGACCTACTAGCCGAGTACTTTGGCGATGAAGTGTCACATCACAGCCAAAGTGTGGACGAAGATAACGAGAACATTGCGCTGACAGAAATGAATGGTGGTGAAACACCAAATTTGATGAATGAGTTAGATACTCAGCGATCTGGACAGCTTGGCCCGTATGTGCCCCCTTCTAATGAAAACACTCAAATTCAACCTTCACTTTATCCAATTCCTACTCAAACAGTTTCTCAAACCCAATTTCCAGTCACTGAACTAGAAACGATGACTGATGGGCCAACAAAGAGAAGAAAGGTCAACACTTCGATAGATCTCCCTTCTCCCACAATTGGTATTCTCAAAGAAGTGTCACAATCGCTAAAAACATTTCAAAGCGTGCAGCGCAACATAGCCCAATCAGTGGAAGATATGAAACAAGTGCTTGAGCAATCAAACGAGGCTATCCGCGGCCTACATCATGCGTTGAACCAGTCTATCCAAGTAAATGCTGCCCTACTAGACTTCCTTAAGCGGCAATCATCTACATAGATACGCTGTGATAATGGGTGAAATCAAGGGTACCGTTCCTTGTCGCGTTTCCGTGACGATCTGCAAGCGCTTCTCTATGCTACTTTCGCTATATGGTGCTGATTCTCGTAATCCTGGAGCTCTCGCCGCAGAATTTTGCCAGTGGGACTTTTTGGAATTGAGTCAATAAACTCGATTTGACGGACTTTCTTGAAAGGGGCAACCTTCGAAGCCACAAAGTCCATCAATTCCTCTTTTGTTAAACCGGCAGCATTCGTTGGATCTTTCAGCACCACAAATGCTTTCGGTACCTCCTCTCCCATGGCATCACTGCCTCGAATGCAACACGCATCCAGTATTTGTGGATGGTGGTTCAATACATCCTCCAATTCGGCTGGGGCCACCTGATGTCCCTTGTATTTGATGAGTTCTTTGACACGATCGACGATAAAGACACAACCATCCTCATCAATATATCCAGTATCACCAGTGCGCAAAAAGCGATCTTCTGTGAACACCTTCGCGTTTGCTTCTTCGTTATTGAGATATCCAAGCATGACCTGAGGCCCCTTGTACAGCAATTCACCGTGCTCTCCCACATCGAGGTCTTTGTCGGTTTCGGTACACTTCACACGAAGCTGCGTATTTGGCAATAAACGACCAACGCTTCCCTGATATCACCAAAACATTGGCAGTGTCAGTCATCTGATTGATTACACTCATTTTTGATCTCACAGGTTTGTGATGAGAATCTTCACTGTAGTTGACAGCTGGCGAAGCTTCAGTCAAGCCATACGCCTGCTTGACAGCTATATGCACTCGGTCCTTCACGAGTTTTTCCACTTCTTTACCCATGGGGGCTCCACCAGACACGAAAATCTCCGTCGCTGAGATATCGTATTTATCGACGAGGGGATGGTGAGCTAGGAACAGAGCAACGGGAGGGGCGATATAAGCTACACAGATCTATATCAAAGACGTTAGTCATGTTATTGCATTCAGCGTAGTAAAGCCCACAGTCATGCATACTTTGTACGTAGACAAGACGTTAAGGAACGTCTCGGGCTCAAACCGCGGCAAGACCACATTAGCCGCCCCCTGATACATTGATAGGTGCATTTGCATCATGCCGTAAATGTGATAGAATGGCAGCAAGCCAAGCGAATATCCGCGCATTTTTTCAACATGATTGACCTGCATAGCATTCGACAAAATGTTTCGAGCGCTCAAAGCGACACCTTTTGGAACACCAGTCGTTCCGCTCGAAAATGGTAGGAAAATCTTACTCTCCGAGTCTATTTTTTCAAATTGAAAAAAAGGATCTTCGCCATCCTTAACGAGATCACTACAAGCCACGATTAACAAATTATTAGCAAGAAACAATCTTAACTTTTCGATCAAACCTCACTCGATAGTCTGAAGATCTTCAGTAGACTGGCCAAATGTAAAGATGAGACTTTTGTCAACGCCACACAATTTGCTAGCTTCAATTGCTGCCTTTTCCAAGTCCTTGTGGGTGATGACGTACTTGGCTGTCGCCGCTTTGATCTGTGCAGCCAGTTCGGTTGGCAAAAACGCAGGCGAAGCAGGAGAGCACACGGCACCAAGTGAGGTAAGCGCTGCAATTCAGAGATTCCGTAAACAGCCATCCCAAAAAGCTAGTACAAGTAACATACTGGGAGACTTACCAAGCACAACAGTAGGATAGTCAATGCAGTTTAACGAGTGCACGATCACCCCCTGAACAAAAGCCGCATAAGTGTCATCATCAGTGCTCAAATCAACCAAACGCAACATACATCTCCTTTTTTGACGCCCCGTTTCGCAAGTGCGATGGCCAATCGCCGAGCTCGATCGTAAAGTTGTTTAAAGGTCATGTGCTGGTGTGTGATCCCGTCAATAAAAGCAGATTTGTCTGCGTGAACGCTCAGCTGCTCCTCAAGTATGTCCCACATAGTTTTATAAGGGATTCTCAATTCTTCATGTGGTGGCTCGTGTATAATCACGGAATAGGAGCGATAATCAAGTTGGGATAGCGAACCAAACCGCAAAGTCGGACGCAAATTGCGCAGTCCGACATTGTATCGACTTGTGTGGGCAGTCGTGGCAAAAAGTAGACGACGAGCAAGCATAACTGATGAATATATGAATGTTCGAGGAATGCTAATTTTCGGATTGCAAGGTAACTTTAAAAGTGAAGGGCTTGTGTCGGTCTCAACTCTATTTTTGGCGAGGACGTCATCAAAAGCTGACTTTTTTAGTTTTGGGGAGTTTTAAATAGCTGATTTGGATGCTGCATCAAGTTCCCACATCAAGCTTCAGCGACACTTCTTGAGCTGAGCTGAAAACAATGATACAACATTTGCTATGAGATGCTGACAGCCATGTTATTATTACCACATGATACAATTCACATTTGGTAGTCACTGTCAAAAGTAGATTGAACCAATCATTATTCATCCGCCGCTGACGCTTTAAGATTTGTAAGTAGTGTACAATCTGGATATTCAATCATAGCCTTAACCCTCTCCCCATCCTGCAACAACAACAAAAATTTGATGTCATGTTTCTGCTGAAAGATGCGCTCGGCTCTCTGCGACAAAATGGTGAGGATGGATGGCTACGTGGCTAAACAAACAACGTTTGCATCGAATGCGTGCTTCCCATCCGTGCTTTCTTGAACTCCGTGTCATACCCCTACATGTCATCTCTCTACTGTACCCCGAAAACTATAAATCAATAGTTTGAGGTTCGACAGCTGTTTATTCAAAGGCAAGCTCGAAGTGATGCTGACAGTGTCGATAATAATTAAGAACTTTTAACTAGGTCCGACAAAGACATGCAATTTAATGCGCTACATGCGGAGTACCTTGCAATTGTTTCGGCTTGCAATATACAGCATCGTGGCTGCATGACAAGTCAAGATATCGATCACCAATCAAATATTCTTAGCTTGCTGACCTCATTAAAGTGAGACAATATCAGTTGAATGTTTTTGATCGTCTTTCCACGAACCCAAAAGGTCGCGAGCAATTAAGAAATAAACCTTGCTTTCGAATATATTCCTTTTCTCGATAGCAATCAAATCACGATGTATGTATCCATCAACACAAGCCGCAACAGCATAGGAATTACGTGGTGACCTGATGTTTCGTGCTGCTTACATACCACGTGCTTTAGTATAAGCAATTATCCATCGAGCCCTTAATATTATGGACAGGGACTGCACGATGACCTCTGAAGTAAAAACTTCAGGTTTCAAATCCCTATATCGGACCCAACAGCTTACTTCAACCGCTTGTTGACACCGATTGTTCCACGTTCGAGTGGTACTTTCGCTGTAATATATTCCAGGCAATCGTTTTGATGGCGACAACTCGCATGACTAAATCATAAAGGTTGTCAGACCGGGTGACCAAGCCTTGTTCTTCCTCTTTTCTTCAAAGCGGCGTGCTACTTATCCTTGTTTTTCAACAATTAAGCGCACGCTCCACGTCAATCCGTTTTTCTCTTCAAATTATCGTTATCGAGTTTCTGCGTTCGTAACCTGGCCGTTTCCCTGTGCCCAGTCGACGAGAATTATCGTCATTCACTCTGCGCTCCTTGTCGTCTCTCGCTTAGTATTTCTGCTTATGTATGCACATTGAGCAAACATAATGTAGCTCAGTACGACATTAGCTCTGTAAACATCGAGTCTTTCCGATTAACGCTTTGCGTTAGAAGTGAAAGGTCTGAACACCTTTTGTGCTCGAAAAATCAAGGGAAGTCGTAGTTAGTCAATTTATTGGAAAATGAATCATACGCACAGCCATTCTGGGTTCCCATTGCGATCTGATTTCTTCCGCAGTCTTCCTTTAGCCAAGTTCAAGAATGACAAGCTGTACCGATTAGCCAAGGCGAACGCCTTTACATGCCTCAATCAATCATTTAATGATCAATGGAGATATGTTCCTCCTGAAAAAGACGGCACTCAGATTCGGAAGGACACGAGCAACCTGGCAGCCTCGTATCGACTCGTGCGAGCAGCTACGGTACTGCGTTGCCAGGAACATGAGGTCAATCAGATTGTTGCCAATACTAACTCTGAGAGCTGGCGCGAGTTCGTTCGCAAGTGCTTTGGAAAATATTACGTCGATACCCTCATCCTCCATAATGTCACAAAGCCCAATGATATTGACACTGTTAAACAGCCAGAGCATGGTAATAGCCAGCCTGAAGGTAGTGGTAGTGAAGAAAGTCCTGGCTGTCTGAAAAAAGACTGCATCGGTAGCGATGGAAGACGCGGCAGTCTTCGGACGATCGGAGTTGACCACAATGTCGAGGCAAAGTTACATAAGAATCTCGACATCGGCTCTTCAATAAATCTTATCGATAGAGTTTCGTCGGAATGCAGCAGTTCTAATGCAGAAGAGCTTTTGAAAGAGGAGGCAGCCGCTGCAGTTGATGGACTAGGTGAACAAGCGGAGGAATTGCTTACTGTGAAATGGGCTGCCTTTGAAACAGGTATATCTGGCAAGCGAGACGTTTGTCTTGTTGACTATCTCTCATTGGCATATGTACCCAACTCTGAACCACGCCAGCGTGTACACGTGTGGTGCTTCACATCAGCTGAAGGCGAACGTGTTGGCTGCATGGAACTTAAGGATACGCACCATGTGACACGGACGACTCTCACGAAACTGGGCTTGTTTTGGCATAAAGTGTCCGACGATGAGACAGAAGTGATCGTGTGCGGTAGTTTTCCGTCAAAGCATGCGCATATGGTTAGCGCAATTCAATTAAACTGTTTAAACCAGTTGCAAGGAATTGTTGAGGATCTCAGGATGAGCAGTCAACTCTACATTCAGCGAGCAACTTGGGTAAAAAACAGTGAGCGTACAACATGCAACCTCTGTACGCGCAATTTTCATGCTTTGCGGCGTAAGCACCACTGTCGTCGCTGTGGGGAAGTTGTATGCTCGGATTGTTCGACAGTTGAGACGGTTGATCTGCCTGCAATCGGCTATTCAAAGCTACGACTATGCAAAGTTTGCTCTATCCGAGCACGCACTACTCCGCTCAAGCAGGTTGCCAAGACCAATGTGTTTGATCATCTCGTGCGTGTACGCAGACTTAGCGACGTCGGTTCATCGAATGCAACTTCATCATTCACTCGATCATCTTGTACCGAAAATAATCAAGCAAGTCATCACGAGGACAGTCAGGGCAACTCGGAGTTGATTATTAGCGGCTATATAAACCGCACACAGAGTTCGAGTACCACCAATAGTGCCAGCAACAATTGTCAGGGGATCTCGTCTTGTGGCTCTCACAGCAAAAACAGCATTTCTATGCAAAATCCCGAGACAAGTGACACAAATGAACTTACGATGCATTCCATGACAGCTAGTCTAGATTCTCCTTTCGAAGCATATGACGACTTTATTAATGAAAGCTGTCTGAAGACGCAACTGTGTGCGATGGAGCACAAGAAGCGCTCGAATGGGGGTAATAGCAACATGTTCGACCTTCTTTGCGAATTGGCATGCCAGACACTTGATTGCCCAGTCGCTTCAGTCTCGATCGTGGATGACATGGACAACTTAATTTGTTCTGCTGTAGGTTTCGAAGTGAACTCTGCCCTTGATGGCGAACTGTCCGTCTTTATCAATAAAATAATGGGATCAACTCCAACCATTGTGTTGGATGCTAGTGTTGATAAGCAGGCGCTCAAGTTTTTCTCTTTGGGGTCCCTACCACATATCCGCTTTTTTGCCGGATGCCCAATCTACTCTCGAACCGGAAGAAAGCTCGGATATGTTTGCGTTGCTGATTTTGCCAAGCGCGATTCTCTAGGAGCAAGCTGCGCTTTTACTATGGAACGACTTGCTACTCTTGCCGTCACCACGATGGAGCGAGACGTACTGAATAAAACTGACGAGAACAAAAATGCTAGATTAAACAACATAAAGGAGGCCGACTTTACTAAGCGAGCTACAACACACACCCCACTGCATCCGGCGATTCTCTCTGACCGAATAAATGGCATTGGAATGTCAGGTAAAGGGCAAGACAACGTAGAAAGTAAAGCTCATTCCGAGGCATTAGTTCGGCACGTGTGCGAAATCGTAGAAGACGAGACACCACCTATAACGACACCTTCAACCGTGAATATAAGACGCGTGGCCGGCGACCGCAGCGCTGACTATTACGAGACACAGGAGCGCATGCGCAAACTACTAATCAAATCGTACCATACGCAGCAGCAGCTTGCAATTAGTGGATCACTGTAACGTGATTAGGCAAAGTTACGATGTCAAGATTGCACTCCAGTAATTGTCGGTTGTTGTACACAGCCATTTCCGCTCACACAAAAACGGATGTCCATGCATACCAAAATACTTATGTCCATCTATCATTCACCTAACCAGATGTATGATCATTCTAGCTTATGAAAGTTCGTGTTAGCAAAATGAGTATCTATCTGATTACGTGTTCACAGCAATCGTCTGCCCTTCCACTGTGCAAATTTACTCATCAGTAACGCATCCTTCTGAAGCAGACTTCACATTCTTAATGAATTTGTACAGTGTACCGCGAGTGGCTTTGAGTGGAGGTGCAACCCACGCCTTCTTCCGCTCATCCAGCTCTTCGGGGGACACATCTACAAGATCAATGCGATTCTTTTCAGCGTCAATCGTGATCCTATCACCGTTTTTTACTAGAGCAATAGGTCCACCAACTTGAGCTTCAGGGGTTATGTGGCCGATGATAAACCCATGGGAACCGCCGGAGAATCGGCCATCAGTAAGCATTGCAACATCCTTTCCGAGTCCAGCGCCCATGATTGCTGACGTAGGAGCGACTGCATAATGAAAGCATGCGGCAACGTGTTAAAAAAAAGCAACTTCAGTATAAATGTAGGCGAGACTTACGCATCTCCGGCATGCCTGGACCACCCTTGGGGCCTTCATAACGAATGATGACAACACAGCCCTTGGTTATTTCGCCTTTTTCTAAGCCAGTCATCATATCTTCTTCACAGTCGTACACTTTGGCCGTACCAGTGAACACAAGGCCTTCTTTGCCTGTTATTTTGGCAACTGAACCTTCTGGGGCCAAATCGCCGCGCAGGATTCGCAAGTGACCGCTAGACTTAAGTGGGCGATCAACCGGATAGATTATTTCGTGGTTATCCGAAAGATCCGCCACCTTTTCAAGGTTTTTCGCAAGCGTCTCACCCGTCACAGTTAGACAGTCGCCGTGAATGAAGCCTTGTTTCATGAGATATTTCAGTACAGCAGGTGTACCACCCACGCGATGAATGTCCTCCATCACAAACTTCCCACTTGGCTTTAAGTCAGCCAGAAACGGAACGCGCTCACTTATCTTTTCAAAGTCATCAATGGTCAATGGAATACCAGCTGCACGAGCAATAGCGATCAAGTGAAGCACAGCATTAGTAGAGCCACCCAGAGCCATTGTCACTGTGATGGCATTTTCGAAAGCTTTGCGACTTAATATGTCAAGCGGCTTGATATCGTTTTTCAAAAGTATCTTTATCGCTTCACCTGCTTGAAGGCACTCAGTTTGTTTTTCAGCCGAATCTGCAGGAAAACTCGACGAAAATGGTAGACTCAGGCCCAAAGTCTCAATCGCAGTAGCCATCGTATTTGCCGTGTACATGCCACCACACGCTCCAGCACCAGGACAGGCATGTCGAATTATATCGTGACGCTCCTCTTCTGTGATTCGTCCGGCAATATATTCGCCGTACGCTTGAAAAGCGGATACAACGTCCAGTGTTTCACCTTTGGAGCTGCATCCAGCACGAATTGTGCCACCGTATACCATCAACGATGGACGATTCACTCTTGCCATGGCAATTACACAACCTGGCATGTTCTTGTCACAACCTGGTATGCAGATATTCGCATCATACCATTGACCACCCATTACCGTTTCGATTGAATCCGCAATTAAATCGCGCGATTGGAGACTGTAGCTCATACCATCCGTACCCATGCTGATACCGTCACTCACACCGATCGTGTTGAAACGTAGACCCACTAGACCTGCAGCATTCACGCCTTTCTTCACCTCGCCCGCCAGATCCAGCAGGTGCATGTTGCACGGATTGCCTTCCCACCACATAGAGGCAATACCGACTTGAGGCTTATCCATGTCTTCCTCAGTCATGCCCGTTGCATACAACATGGCCTGTGATGCGCCGCGAGCCTTGGGCTGCGTCACAACGGCGCTGTAGCGATTAATACGCACACCATCTATGGCTTTGGGTGTGCTGTCGCCTGAAGTGGAAAATGCACGCTGGAACATCGTCTTGCGCACAAGTGACGAAACTTGTGAGCGGTGCATGGTATTCCCTAGTCTCAAATCGAGATCAGTGACTAATGGTTGCGCAAGCACGCATTAATTTGACTACCGTGGAAGCTCAAATAGTGCGCCATGTACTCAACTCATCGCAATGAACTGTTGATATTAGTTAACACACAAAAGGAAATCAAGCATCAAAAGACGAATCATCAGTCGAGCTCCGTTATAATCATTTTCGACCCCAGTGTTCTTCTTTAAGAAACAGCGGGACGATCATTCGATCGTCGCTACTGCACCATACAAATCGGTGCATACTCTGTTATTGCGATAGTCCATTTTTACAGCCATTTAACAGTGTCATTATCCCATTTACTCATTATCACCATCTTCATCAAAACGACTAGCAATGCCCTGGTCAACAAGTCAGCCCTTGATTTGTTGTAAGCTGAAAGCATTACAAAGTTGGATATCTCTTCATGGATAGATAATCAATGAGCGTATGGAGGTTTGTCCAGAATCCTACGTACTGCACGTTACGGGTAAAACATGCAACAGCTAGACCTCATTTATTCGTAGTGATTTGCGGGCGTGTGTTGCCTCATCCGCACGATGCCGTAGAATTCTCGCCAGCTCGCAAGCCTCTCCACTCTGACCGATCGTATAGCGAGAGCATTCGCAGCACGACCGCGACGATGAAGATAAAATGCAGGTCGCTGTCGAGCGGGGTATATTCGCTACAGCGCTTGGTGCGGTCGATGACAGTCGATGCGCTCACGAAATCTTTCAAATATAAATTAGCTGTGCGCACGCGCGACGAGGAGTCGATGATTGTTACCTTTTATCCGGCATGCACACAGACTCCGCAATGTCTGCTCAATGAAGAGCTAACTCGGCGGCTACCGCGAACATGCGCACAGCAGTATCTGCAGTAGGGCAAGCGCTCATGATGCCAACATTCTTCGCAATACTAAATGCGAAGCTGTCGGTTAGTAAGTTCGACGGGAGTGAGCTATTTAAGGTACAAGGGCCTGTCTTCTTCGACTGGGTCTGCACGTTTTTGTGTGGCGATAGCTGGCCGAGTCCACATGTGGACATACGCAAAATGAGGACGCTAAAGGCGGCTTGCTGAGTCAAAACCACAGTAGAACGGCTGTGGGAATTATCACATGCAAATAGATACGTGGTGAGACCAAAGGCCGATGCTACTACGGCTAGCCGTATCATGATACTGTTCAAATAGAAAATAGATTTCAAGCGCATACGGGCAGAACACCGGTTGCTGTCAGTTACGCATGCGGAGAAGCAGAATCGCTCGTATTGGACAGTATATGCATCAAGCATCATGTTAGTGAATGAACGTTTTTATGCGTGTCAAGCACGACTGGACACGTACACTACTACATTTGTCATGCTACTGTATCGGCGCACTTTGTGCACTCAATTCGTTACAAGGCGCAAAGAAAGACGCACCCGATGTGGCTGCAGAAAAGTTGGTCAGCTGACTGCCACTATATAGAGAAGATGATAATAGTGGTTGCAGCATGATTCCTGCAGTTCGTGTAAAAAAATCGATAAAAGAGCTGGCAAAACCTTCAGCCTGGATAATCGAAAGCGGCTTTGTTTAATATATGATAAATAACGAGAAATTGCTGTTTGACTCGGCTGCCTGTGATCGCCATGGATTACTGGAATATCCTGCACCTGACGCAGTGGGCAGCGGCAGGCAATCTCGAAGCAGACTGCCATTGCAATCTGAAGCAATGCGATCAGGATACAGCGAGTTTCCTGAAATGCAGCCAGACGAAAGCAAAATGAAGCGTGCATTGCAAGTCAAAGTGCCAAAGGGGTCGGTGCCGGACCTGCTTGAGATTGCTATTCCTGTATTTTTTTGCAGCATTCATCGAGGCTCGCGCAAGAATCCGCTACGACAGCGCATGCAGCTTGCCACAATCGTGGAAAGTAGCGAAATAACAAAGGGAAGTGAGGCAGAGAGAACAAGGTGATCCTGATTCAGCACGTCAGGAACATTGGCACGTTGTACGTGTTGAACTAAATAGGTGGCCCGATACGCTGCCTCTGCGCAAAGTGCTGCAAAAGTAAGATAGGAAGCAAGGACCTGGTGGTTTGAAGGTAAGTTTCCAAGTAAATGTATTATGCTTATAGCTAGC